CGCGTTGCGCGCCAAAGGAAATTACCATGTGTTCGCGGTAGATCGTTTTTTTCGCGTATCTGTGGCAGCTTATATCGGACATGGCCAATGTCGAGAAAGAGCAAACTCGAACGTATTATAATTTTGTCACGAGCATGGCGCGACTTGACGCGTGAATGTGAAATGAAAATTCACGTTGTTTGACTCGTATCGAACATTTACGATCTGCCGCTGATTTCATCTTTGTATCAGATGCAACGATACTTTACATCGATGATACGAATGTGATCTCAAAGTGTCATTTTCTACATTTTTTGGCGACTTTACGGTGTTGCGTGAATCTTGGTAAATTTTAAGAAACCTTTGACGAACGATAAATTCGAGATAAATCTTGGTAAATAATTCTAACAAGTTTTCCAACGATTCGTCGAAGATAAATCGTCTCTTCGAACTCTCGATTATCGTGTCGATTTGGTTGGCAATAAATGAATTATCTGCGACGCGATGTAATGGCGCGTGTCTGACGGGATAGGCAGTCGTGTATCACTTACGGTTCGTTCTGCGTTGAAATAAAAATTACTTCCGTTAGATTGATACGAGCTTTCGTGTACAAATTGATAAAAGGAAGATGAAACGTTCGATAGAACGATTACATTTTCGATGTCACATCGATGTTCGATACTTGAGCGTGAAAATGTCCATTTTCATCGTTCTCGTTTGCAGTTTCAGTTTTTTTCGTAATGTAAAAATGATGTCCGAGATGTTTCGTTTCGAACAATCTCACGCTGTTTGTATCGCTATTTAGGAATTTTAATATTTATTTTAAATCGAAAGTCGATTCTCTTTCGCGGAGAAAGAATCTCAGTTGTTCGAGAAGAATTCGTAGCTTTTCATTGGTTTTCATTGTACGCGTGCAGGTGTTACGTTGGACGGTGCCAGCGAAGGTTCTCTTTGGTTTATTACGCCAAAATGGTCAACGCTGGAATCAACCGGCGTATGGGCAGACGCTGCGTCCCAAGTTTTTTATTCCCTTGGTATCGGTTGCGGGTCTTTGATCACCCTTTCCAGCTACAGTAACTTCGATAACAATTGCCACAGGTAACGCAAAAATTTAATCTTACGTCCAACGAAGATCACTGCTACTGTGTATACCTCGTTTTTCTGCGCAATTTCCCGCAGTTTGTCCTTTATTGAAAGTATCGACTCGACGCAACGAATTCCTCTTTAACCCCTTAACCGTTGTCCAAGTTTTACTTCGAGAACGTGCTCGATCGTTTCCAGTATGCGACGACCGGTACGCGATCCAAGATTGTAACAAAACGGCAGTTCTTTTTCGTGTCTCTTTGAAAAAATTTTTAATCTTATTATCTACGGTATTGCAGAACTTGACGTTTTATTTTTTGAAAATTATTATCCGTGAAAAGGAAACCGTTGAAAATCCACTGCAAAATGTGGAGGAAAAAACTTGAATTTTCCTCGACTCGTAAGGAATAAGGAGCAAAGACTCGAACGTACGCGACTAATTGAAACGATTCGAGATCGATTTAATTTGTTTTTGCCGACGTGTTTGCGTCGGATATCTCGAAACGATTGTCTTCCCGTTATCTTTCAAGTGCGTGTTTCCTTTGTTTGTTCTGTTGTTGTCTGGAAACGTTCTGAAATGCGTGCTAAAATTCTACAAATGTGTATAATTTTTTTTACCTAAATTATTTTACGATAAATGGCAAGAGCGAATTTTTTTCTACGTGACGCGTTTCTACTCGACGTAAACGCTTAACGGGTTGAAACGACCCCGCAAAATACCGCGTACTCTGAAACTGACTGAAAGCACCGCGACCGTGCACTGGATGGAATAAATTTATGGATGAGCAAAAGTAGTAATTCGTTCGTAATCTATTCGCCTTGCAACCAAATCGCCATTACGCTCTCGGCAATCCAGTGAAATTACAGAACCATCCAATTAAAATCTTCCGGCCAATTAATGCGATTCATCCGCTGAAAAGTCAGCAAAAGTAGCGATGATGCATTTTGCAATCTTCGGATACGCGCGTCGTCGACTCGGTCGCTCGTCTTCCGAACGAAGGGCTCGTGTTCACGTGGCGGAATCCTGCGGACTGAGCTTCTAACAACGTAACTCGTCGTAAAATGATTAATCCACACCCGCGAACTCGCGCCGTGTACTTTCAACGACCACTCGGTCGAATCGGATTCGCGAATCGGTCCACGCTGTGCCCGGACGCTGTTCGGAAGCACGTTTGTTGCGAGTTTCATTTCGCGCGATACCGATCGCAAGGTGAATCATCCGCGCGGTACCACCGAAACTCGGCGATACTGCCGCCCGAGTCGGCAGCGTTCGCGTGCTCGAAATATCGCGGAAAGTCGTAATTAGCGTGATCATCCGACGCTCAAGTTCTCCAGCGACGGCGGATACAATTCGTTGCACGTTGCATCCGCGTGTGTAAATTATATCAGTGCGACGCAAGTCGAATGAGCAAGTAGTGCCGGCCGGCTCCGGGCTATATAAACTTGCCGTCTCCAACTTTTACCTGTGATTATATTAATTTTCTTCTTCCTCCGTTCTGTCGTCCAAGTGCCGCGTCTCGCCCTTATCGCCAGACACATTTCACACCACTCGAGAGACATGCCTTGTGTCGCGTCGCTCGTTGAACGACGGCGTCGGCGTCGTCGTCGTCGTCGTCGTTCTCTCTGACGGTGACGATACCGAATATGAAATAACACGAGGCCGGCAAATCCGGCTTTGGTCACGCGGACGCGTTCGATACGAATTTTTATCGTCTTCTCGGTCCTGGTGAAATATTTATACGCGATTCGGAGATGCTGCTGCGTATAAACGGACGTGTGTACGTACGAATTGATCTCGCGTGGATGGTGTACCAGTCGCCGAGGAGTATTCGCAAAGTGAATTCGACTTGTGCAAGGAAAGAAACTTTTTAAATTTTTATTGTACTTTTTTGCCAATTTTTTATTTTATGTAGCTTTGGTCTTAGGTTTTCAACTATCAATGTGATAGTCCAATCCTTGGGGGATGACGGCTAGTGTTGATCGGTTTTGATCATTTCTATAGATTTAAATTACTTCGAAGGTAATAATAACAAAGTAGGTTTTATGATAATTTTCTTATAATCTCGAACGGTCAAAAAAAAAATACACGGAACGCGATCAAATATCGATCTCGTCTACGAGTAATCATGAAATTTAGTACTGCTGAAATAACTTTTGGTAAAGGTTGTACGATAGCCGATATAGTTTACAGATGTCGATGGTTCTTGAAGGCTTACGTAGTAATAAGCTTAGAAAAAGTAAATTTTTAGCGAAACGAACGTGTCGGTTGTTGAGTCGATTACTGTTAAATCTGTCTTTTCGTTTTGGAAATGTTATTTTCGTAGCTTTGTATCTGTCACGTCGTTACGTCGTTACGTGATCGTCTTCCGCGCTGGATAATTGAAAGATAGTTACGAGTAACAGTGGACGCTGCTACTGAAAATTAATTAACAAGAAACTAATCGAAAAGATTGATTTCTCTTCTTTCGAAAGAAAGAACGTCTCGATTAAGCTTCTAAATTGTTTCCCTCGTGTAGCGAAATTCCTTTCGGATGTTTAAATTATTTATATCTGAAAGGAATTTCCGATCGACGCCTTTGAGACCTTTGGGGATGGTGATACCTGTAAACTTTGTTTGAAGAAATACAAAATGAACGTGGCGAAACTTTTCACTCTACGTTTATTTGAAAAAAGGAAAGGAAGGAAAAAGAAAGTCAGATCGGTGAATTCGATTATTGTGTGCAAAGTGAAAACCAACTTTAACGTATTTCAACTGACTTGATAAATTAATAAGAGACTATCAACTAGTCTCAACGACGCTACTCTAGTTCGTTTCACGCCATGTTTGTTATTCTTCTTCGTTTCCTTTAGGGACGCCATTTTCGTGACGTTGACGAATCTGGCAACCTCGATTTTCGCCGGTTTCGTTATTTTCTCCATTATGGGATTCCTTGCCCGTCAAATGGGAATACCGATCGACGATGTGATCAAAAGCGGGGTCGGACTGGCTTTCGTCGCATACCCGGAAGCCGTGGCGCGGATGCCGCTGCCCAATCTCTGGGCAGTACTGTTTTTTGTCATGCTGTTCATCCTAGGTATCGGTAGCCAAGTAAGTATACATCAAACGATACGGTACGGCAGTAGTCTCGCGAAAAAGTAACGATCGATTGATGGATTTCAATCGAGGCTGCGCCTCGCGTTTTGAAAGTTCGTTAAAAGAAGGAAAGAAAAAAAGAAAAGAAAGGTAAAGTACTTTTAGAGCCAAAGAGAGCAGCGATGAGTGAAGAGAGAAAA